ATCGCACTAACAAGCATCACAGACGTGCTACCGATAACACTATTCGTTCGCTCCGCCACGAAGTGAAACAATACAGTACCTGGAAAAAGTTACCGTCGTGGCGTGTAGTGGGAGGAGCTAGATTATCCGAAAGTGTTAACAATATGCTTAAGAGGAAGTTAAACTGAAAAGAAAAACTACTATTGTTGCATTAAAGTTACCTTTGAAACAGGCAAAAATCAGAATTTGATTATTTCCAGATGTGTTTATGTGTGTACAGTTTTATTTATCCCTTCACGTGATCACGGAATATTAAATATTGTAATATTTCTAAAAACGGATAATTAAAATTATTTTCGATTTTTTTTTTCGTTTCGCTAGACCTAGAAACAATCGAAACGGGAAATAGTGCTTTGAACATAACCTTGAATCACATGCCTATGCAATACAATGCAGGTTTTGCGTTGCTCAATGAGAAATACGTAAACAAAATTCCATTGACGATAATGAGCGGTCCACTTATGAGTGACGCTGCCTTGGTGACCTTGGGTTCATATTTTCATTTGAGTTTTCCTTACTAGAATAACCCTGGAATATTTATTAAGGGGAATTGGATATTAATTACTGTATGTAATTACTGTACTGTAATGTATATTTTAAGTTCATAAAACGCCTGTGTAAATTTAAATTACTTAAGTTATTAGTTTATACCTGCATATTACGAAACCTAAGCATAAATAATTTTCATTACAGTGATATAAAACCATGTTATTAAGCTTGTTTAGAGCGTGATGTCACTCCCCACTGACGTCATCGCGATGTCTGGTTTCAGCAATTCCTTTTTAAACACTCAAGGTTGGATTTCAGCCAACGACATTGTTGAATATATTACTCTGCTATTTCAACAAGAGAAAATAATGTTGAAAATACAACCTTTCCGCTTATATAAACAGTTCTCCACTCCCGGTTCACAGTGAGTCTGGAGCCTATCCCAGGAAACAGAGGGCATAGCACAGGATGCCAAAATGTCAGAGGGTATAGACACTGATTCACCTCAACCAGATGGTTTTGGGCTGAGGAGGAAACCAGCGCACCCAGAGCAAACCTGCGGACTCCACATGCACATAGATGGGATGGGAATCAAACTGACACCCGTGAAGAAACAAGGCAAATATGTCATTCCATTCATGTCAGTAAACTAATAAATAGTAAACACTCACTTGTGTTTAAAAAATGTTGATTCTTTCTAGCAAATGAAATGCTCTGAAAAAGACTGTAAATCAGGACCTATGCTATACAATACAACCGTATTAGGTCTAAATATAGAATCAGAGTATCAACCACATTAATGTATCAATGATCATTTCACTGTGTGTGATTCACACTGAGGGAAAAACAGTCAATTTGGTTTTTTGAAGTATTGACAAAATAAGGAATGTAAACATATTTCTGTATAACAAGGTAACTGCTTCTGATTGCTTCAGTAATTATAAGCAATTGAAGCAAGTAATACTAACATTTTGCATGTTTTCAGTTTTTCTAATGTCTTCAATTAATTTAATGCTAGTTTTTTTATATTTTACTGTTTGGGTTGCTACAATAGCTTTCTGAAAGTTATAACGGATTCTCCACATGGGCTTGGTCTAGTAACCTTCTGACCGACAATCAAAGTTTTTAGCCACAATCTTCAATATTAATATAGTTACAAATATTTACAATTGTAGGCGGCCAGGAGCTTATGTCCCCAACACAAAATGCTGCAGTCTGACGCAGGGCATAGACACTACAGACAGTTTGGAGATATCAGTTACCATAAGTGCAGAAAAAACCTACATGATATAGGGAGAGCATGCAAACTTCAGACACAGTGGAGGTAGGGATTCAAACCCACAACCCTGTGGGATGAGGAAACAGTACTACCTACTGAGTCTTTGTGTCTTACTTTGAGGCCATCTGTAAACAAAGGAACACGAGCTAATTACCTTCCGAAGACATGTGTAAAATTCAGCTCCGCTCCCATGTAACAAAAACTCTGCATCTGAAGAACAATATGCTATATGGTCCATTGTTTTTGGAAAAGCGCGGAATAAACAAAATTTTCACAAGACATAACAAGCCAGACAGATTTTACTGGAGAACCCAAAGCCAAACAAACCTCTAAAACTAAGAATATGTACAAATTACTATCTGTACATCCCATCCCAAAACTTGTAATTCACCAGGAATTCCCATAGCAGAGAATTCCCCGGAATGCGTGGCGGATACACAGCGCTGAATTCTGTAAGGACATATTGAAAAGCTGCGCCTGTTTGTGTGGGAGTAACTGCTATGCGCGTCAATGAAGCACAATCAAAACTCCTTTACAGAGAGGAGACAAACCAGTCTCTGACATTTCTCAGACTCGCACGTTTGTATTTTTCCATATGTAGGAATTACACCTCGTCTGTAATGTTACACTTTTCATTAGCAAATCCATTGTTGTTGAATTGAACAGACAATAGAGAGATTCTCAGGCAAAAGACTGCAAAAAAGAAATAACTCCTGATTATTAGAGCATCACTGTTCCTTGACAATGCAAGAGTGACATCAAACCTATTTTAAAGGATTTCAGTATCATACTTCTTCCGAGAACAACTAAAATGTTTCTATGCTCTTTGTCAGAGGGGGGCGCTCATGCATGGGATATGGAACTAAGACCTAAATGTATTCTAGAGATGGACATTTTATTTTTACGCTTCTAGTATTTGGCAACATTTCCACTTAAGTAATTTACTAGCATGAATGATTTAGTGCGTGACTATGCTTAGATTAATTCGAGTCTATTTTTCTTTTGCATTAAAGTAAATGTAGTGTTGTAATCTGAGATTCTGCGCGAATAGTTTGTAGAGGTCTTTCAGTCTGCTGAGCGTCTCTGACAAGACGGAAGGGATGGGGTCGTTGGCGAGGCGCCGTACAAATAGGGTCCGTGTTTTCAGGAGGTCAGATCCTCTCGCCTCCGCTCCAGTGGACCCCCCATCCCCCCCGGGACAGGCTCTGATTCAGCAGAATGAAATGCGTCAGGCGCCGAACTGCTTTTCCCACCTCGGAGGGGAGCACAACGTACTGTAACACGATCGAGAGGGATTCAAACCCTCCGGATGCCGCATATGGAATGGGCCTTCTGCTGCAAAACAAACGAATATTTTGCTCCCTACCTAAATCAAGGCAATGTCCTGCCGTGTATATCTTATGTATACTACATGATTTTAATTCTTATATTTTTTTCATTTGCGTGAACATTTGTTTTTTTCTGATTAGTTCTGCTTTGGTTAGTTACCATGCAGTGTTAGCCTAAGTAGTTTTCTTTGCAGTCGCGTTTGTGGGTTTTAAGCCGTGCATTACTGTTTTCCAGTTTATGTGGGGTGACGCGAAATGCTTTTTAGAACACTTCTTAAAAATGTAAGTTATTCGCTTAAATGTAGGTTATTCGTGTATTAAATGTCCTTTTTATAGTGCATACTCCTGACATACATTTGCAGCAGATGTATTTTTTATTTTTATTCTTTTCCACGCCGAATTTGCTATGGATGGGAGGTGGGGGTGGGGTTCCGTCTACTGGGTCAAATTCAAGGGGGTCTGTAAATTGATGCAATAGCATAATTTTCATCCGGTTCACGCAACGCGCATAATAAAGATGATAGGGACACCCGCTTCTTGGTTCTTAGTTACTTATGTGATCACGCATTCGTGGTGGGGGGTCTATTTTCATTTAGGGGCCACTGGTTCAAAAAATTATGCAGGGCATGACATTTTTTTTCCGTCAGCATGTTTATAGCTTTCGCATCTGATCCTACACACACACACATATAACTAGCGGGGAAGATGAGGCGTTAGGTATTAATGTGGCACCTTCGTTCGCGAATTACACATCAGCGGAAAAAACATTTTCACAGAAAGGTGTCTTACAACAATTACGGGAGCAGAAGCACGTTGAGGGAGCCGATCACGCCCTAGCTGGAGCCGTAGGTGTGTAATCCCTCTCAGATCATTAGCGACGCTAAACAAACGCTAGGTGGTAGAAGGGGCCCCCTGGAACACAAGCACTAGATACACTCACTAATCAGCCACGAAAAGAGGGAGATTGTCTATAGCTAATTAATTACCTCCTAATGAAAAAGGCTTCACGATGATTTATTCATTAGTGCTTTTGAGCTGCAGAGGACAAAGGTACGAGATCGTAGAAAACTCACAGTCTCCCTCATTTTTCTCTGGCTTCTGTCTTCTTTTTAAAGTGTCACTATAAAAAAAAACTACCGTCCGAATGACTGCTAATTGTATTTAATGGTGTCGTGTATTAGACCTATGTGTGATTTTTCCAATATAGTTTGATAATGTTTGATTTACGTTTTTTCATAATGTTTAATTTATGTTTGTATCTTCACGCGAGTGTGGAGTTGCAGATAAGAGACATACGGTGTGACTCACTGGTACCTCTAAATTGCCTGCATTTTACAGTTGTGTGTGACCATAGTGAGAGATTTACATCCCATCCAAGACTGTACCCCTGCCTCGTGCTCTCTGCAGCCTGAAACAGGCTCCAGCCCCCCTATAACCCAGAACAGGATAGGCCAGGAGAGGAAGATGGGTGAACATTACAGTGTGTTATGACAATGGGTTTTATTCATCCATTTTCTGAAAACACTTGCCCTATTCAGGGTAGCAGGGGGTCCAGAGCCTATCACGGAGGTTAAGGGTGCAAGGCAGGGAACAACCCAGGAAGGGGCGCCAACCCCGTTGCAAACAAAGGGTTTTAGTTATATGGAATTCTAGTGGTTCAGTCCCAGAATGAGACTGCCATTAAATCATAAAAATTATTTAAAAGAATACATCAATGCATCAAAAACAATTGGACAGGGCTTTAGTGAAAATGAAATACACGGCACACCAATTGCGTAATCCTTTATAAAGTAGTTCAGAAACAGAAGGTACAGTACCCTTTCGAAAATGAGAACGAGCACCACCTACTGGTGAACTTACTCGCATTTGTCTGGCTTGGGGATGTCATTTTTTATTCATTATATTTATTTATTTTTCACTGCGGTCACGACGGGATCAGCATCGCGGAAAACCGAAGGATTTCTTTCTATAATGGCCGTTTTAGAAAGAAGAGTGTCAGCCATTGTTAATTATAACATTTAAATAGCAACCCAACAAATGTTAAAATGTTAAAGAATACACGCAATCATTTTTATATACAATTTCTAATCGTGTTAAATATTCCAATTTCAGGGGACTTGATACATTTTTGACACGTATATAAATATTTAAGATGTCTAAAGTTTGAAAATATTTATTATAGTTTACAAATTTATTTTAATTGCATTTTAAAATTTGAAATGCCCCCCCGCCCCCCTCCACCAACAACAACAATTGCTAACAATTGGGAAAATGGCAAAGAAAATACAACAGGTTTCAATTAAATTTAAATATGTTAATATTTCCTAATTGTTACATTTTTATTCATTTTATTTCATTGGACAGAAAACTCAGCCTGTAATAAAAAATCATGTTATGTATTGATTAAAAAAATAGTTTGCAATTTCATACCTGATTGATAAAGATATCCGAATTACTTTAGTCCACAATCAAGTTATCCAGATAAGTATAACCTGCTTTGAATAAAAGCGCTCACTAAATACTAAAATAATAGTAATAAAAATATTTATAATAATAGCAGCACTGGACATACATATATAAATCGGTACATATCAGTTGCATGCGCATGTCACAGTGTAAATGAATAAAAAAGTAATTCATGTTGACAAAGGACACATTTAATGTTGAAGTTGTAGTGTTCTTTTTCTGTCCATTCACGGACTTTCAGATGCAAGTCTTGACCAGGGGCCGGTTTGAGAAGGTGGCGGCGGCAGAGGGGCCCCTCAGCCCCTGCCCACGTCCGCCGGCGAGGCCTCTCTGTGTGGACGCTGCTCCGGCACGGACTTAGCGGTGTAGCCGTGGATCTCGGCTTCGTGTTCCCTGGCTTTGGCCCGCAGCTTTGCTATGCTGCAGGAGCGGAGCTGGTCATGGCTGGGGTCCTTAGCCACCTCCTCCGGCACCGGGTTGTGAAAAGGGGCGCTGGGGACGGGCGGAGACGCCGAGGCCTGGGATGCAATCTGAGGGCAGTTCCTTTTCCGCTTTTTCCTGTCCCCCGGCTCGCTGCTGGGACCCTTAGCATCCTGGTCTCCGTGGTCCCGCTTCTCTGTCGCTACTTCGCTTTCCTTCTCCGACATCCGGTCCATCTCCCGCCCAACAATTTTCATCTGCCTCCTCATTTTGGCTCGGCGGTTCTGAAACCAGACCTAAACAAGCCCGGCATGGTGAGATGTTACTGTTTGAGCATGTGAGAGCAGTCAGGACCACGGCCACAAACTACACACAGACCATTGCAATCACATCATATAACCATGGGTGTGTTTAGTAAATAAAGTAGCTGGGATACAAGAAACGAAACACATTTTTTCACCATTACGCATCCATGGAAAACACCATGAGCACCCCATAGCGGTGTGCAGCTATGCAGGTTAAGAACCTGTGTTCATGGCCAGTTGGTTGTGGGTTCAAATCCTATGGCCGGCAGAGTAATCAAAGCACTGTTGTCCCCTTGAGAAAGGCCTTGGTGCTGGATTGTTGGCTAACTTTGCTCTCTTGACCCAAGCTTTCCTCACTTGTATGCAACTTTAGATAAAGTGTCTGCTTAACAAACAAACAATCTATTGCATGAATCTGCTAACCTAAGTCTCAAAGTCCTCTTCAGATACCAAAAAAAACATTTATTCATTCCCATCATTAGCTTCTCAGAGGCAAAATGATCTCTGAGTCAGGGGAGCCAGGTTCTGACATGCGGTGTCACAGCTCCACACGGTATAATTGTTTAATTGAAGTTCCCAATATTACCATCTTGCAAATAAATAGTAATTCCTGTTAGCGCCATCTGGCTCATTTAATAATTCGTGATAAAACAAAAAGGAAAAAAAGAAATCATATAAACACAAGCATATATGTTTGTAGTGGCTTTAAAATTCTGACAACCTTCTGTCCACCTGCTGCGGATCTGGAGCAGCCAGCGTCAAACCCAAAGAGGTCCCTTGGTATTTAAACACGCGGAGAGCGGGCAATGCGGCGGGCAGAGTGCGGACTGGGCGCTACCTGCACTCTGGCCTCGATGAGGTCTAGCCGGAGGGCCAGCGCCTCCCTCATGAAAATGTCGGGGTAGTGAGTGGTCTCGAAGGTCTTCTCCAGCTCCTCCAGTTGCCAGCTGCTGTAGTTGGCCCGAGCTCTCCTCTGCTTCACTGGCCTCAGCTCTTCTGGAAATCACGGAGAACCCCCGGCAATTAGGCCCACGCCAGCCAGTGACGGGCGTCTAATTGCTCCAGATTGGATAATTAGCAGTGCTTTCATTAAGGCCAATTAACAAACGCCGGGAAACTGAAGCGGCAATCAATTGATACTCATGAGCTTTCGCGCTGTACGCCTGCGCTTCCATTGTCAGAGTCAAAAGGAGGGTGGTAATTTCACGCTAATCCTTTTCTCACACAAACAAGTCTGGAAATAATTTGCTGACCATATTTACAGGCATGGCACAATTTAATTATTTCTCCCGATTGGATTTAAACCACCAGTACCCAGAAAAAAATCATTATGTCTTGTCTAACATTCGTCACAGGTGCCATTTCCAGATCACGCCATCTTTCACACATATGCCAAATGTGTTTGTTATAAGTATGATAGCCTCAAACAAATTAGTGCTGATTCTGCAACAAAAATAGTCTTTAGAAGTGTGCTTCAAGTTCTTTGGTACACATGTTCCTTTTAAGCCCAACAGAAGCATCTGGTATCATTATTGCTAGTTTGTTACTGATTAAAATTTAAAAGCTATGTCCCACAGTTGGATCGCCCCAGCTGACACCAACCTTTGTAATCTGTAATTCCCACAAGGCCGGCTGCTTGTGTCGCCAGGAGAAGAGCCTGCTTGCAGGGTTCAGGCTGCAGGTAGCTCTGGAGGATCTCATAGCTGAGCAAAGGTCCCGGGATGACCAGGCTGGAGATGTGCGGAGAGCCCAGTCTGGTAGGGAAGGCTGGGTAGAAGTGCGCTGGGGACGAGTGAAAGACGGCAGGGGTGAGAGCCGACACCAGCTGCCCTGGGCTGAACATCTCCGGAAGGCCCCGGAAGCTTCACTGGGGATCGAAGGCCCGAGGTAAGAAAGAGCGTGCGGCAGACTCAGGACGAGACGAGTAATGAGGACGTCGCACATGCAGATTGTGAATGCAGATTAGACACTGATACAGAGCGGGGTAATACAATACAGACACAGGATCAAATCGAGTAGCATGTGTGGGGAGGCTCTTCAGCTGCTAGGCTCTTATTGCACAGCCCGATTCAAAAGAAACACGCAGAACGGCTCTAATACAAGCTAAAGGTGCACCATTGCTCAGAAAAGCTTCAGGTCTGCATGTAGACAAAGTATTGCAATAAAAAATAAGTGTAAATCCATGAAAAACAATTGGAAAGTTTTTAGTGGGAAGTCCTTTTAGCAGATAGACAGAAGGTAACACTGACCGCTGCCTTGCAGAGAGGGGTGTGAGACACGGTCCTCCTTACCTGCTCCTTCCAGTCCAGGTACCGCCTCTCCTGTGGTCACATGACCTCACCGGTGTCTACAAACTGTGGACAGGTGAGGAGGGAAAAAAAGCTTCAAAGACAGCTCCTCCATCAACTAAGACGTATAAATACAATCAGGGAGCAGAGATAGAATTTCTGAGCAAATATTCGCACCAATTCATCATTCTCTGTGACCCGATTAACACTTTGGCTTTAGTGCTGCGGTTCCCCCCACCCCACACCCCCACCCCAGAAAAGGTGGAAACACAAAGAATGGATGTAATAAGAGTGAAATCTTTGGGCACTTATGTGAAAGACTGGCTGTCTCCCTAATAGAAACAAAGCACGAGTATTTTTTTCAATTTCCAATTGGAAAAGGCATGTCTCCTTAATGTTTACATTTGGCAAGTTCAGTCCCATTTGTTTTTTTTTCTCCAGTTAATATTAGGTAGCAGATGTCCAAACTAAAGTGGGAAGAGCATATTTTTTCACCAGAATTATTTGTATGGTTTCATCATAATCTGTTATATACTTAGATAGATAGTCTTACTAATAAATATGCATAATGTCAAATATGGAGAAGACATATCAGCCTCATGAGATACTTTTATCCTTGTTTATTGTGTAAACACATTTACTTGATATGTCGAAAAACACAATAGCTCTACATAAAATATAGAAAAGTAAATTATTTTTTTCAACAGCATGACGCCTCCCTTGTTTTTTCCCCCCACATCAATATAATATTGGAGCCAAGAGATAACAGATTATTAAAAGTAATCTGAGCTTTATTTCTGTTCCTGGATGAGGAGAACTCCGTGGTGGAAAACAATCAGACAGGAAGCAGTAATAAGATAATTAGAAAGGCAAACTAATTTGACTTTATTGCCCAAAGAGGTTTCCTATCTTAATGACAGGGATCCGCTTGGGTGAAACTCACACTAGTTATATCAGGACTCCGATGCTGCGAGGAGGAGATTCTACGTGTAAATACCACCTCAGTGCCAGCCAGACGACGCAGCAAACGGGCTTCTTCTTCCAATGCGGCAAAAAAAGGAAACCATTTAATCAGCCGCGGAAAACATTTATGATAAAAAATCGTCCAGTTATACATGAGAATGCAGCAATAAAACGCCACGTGACATGAGTAAGACTTGCATTCTTTCCCAAAACAATACATCTTGGTTTCCAAATGTTGCTCGTTAGTAAAATTATTATTATTATTATTAACAACAACAATAATAATAACCAGAATCAGTCAAATAGGACTTTCTCACTTCTTCCAAAAAAGAAAATATCCAATTACTGTATTTTACAGATACATCAAGTTACAGCCTTCATGAATGAAGAGATACGTAGCTTAATTAGAATCCTAATTAGAGTTAAATGTGTTGTGATCATTTGAAACATTTGCAAATCGGTTATAATAAAACAATCAGTAGATATTTGGCGTTTCATAGCCTATAAGATGTAAGCCACCTGTGAAATCTGTCACATTTCACAAAATGCAGCTTTGATAGCGCGGTCTGTGAGGGGTGCCGGCGAAGAGTGATGGAAAGCGGGCTGTCTCACATGCATGAGTGTTCATGAGTGACGGTCCAAAAGGCAGCACCGGTGTGTCGATTAGACCGCATCAGCCAGTGAAACACGCCCCGGTGCTTAATCGGATCAGACAGCACGCTGTTGTCACTGCTGTCACTACTAACCGACAGGCCAAGCTGGCTTTGATCACTTCGCGTTGCACAGGCAGCTGGACTGAGTCGAGCCGCAAACATGTGCGGTATTGGACCCCCATCCCAGCCTAATGCACTGATTCATCTTACCTGCAAGCAACAGCCTCTCAAATACAAAAAAGAAAAAAAAACACTCATCGTACCTGGAAACCGCACTGGGATAATTCTGAGCTGGTTTTAGAAACATGGGTATATCTGATCGAGCTCAAGAAACGAAATGCATAGAAAGACGTCATTGAGGCTGAAGTTGGCGCGATTAAGCTCTCCGTTAAGGTGTTTGAAAATCGAAATCAGATTAGGTTTGACGAACATGTATGGTCTGTTGATTACAGAAGTAATTAATTCTTCCGCGGAAAGTTTTTCTCCAACAGTAATGACAGTTTTTGCTTCCAGCAATTGCGCATTAAAGAAAAAAAGGAAAAAAAATAACAATTAGGAACATAAAGGATATACTTCTGCATTTCAGGTACCATGGGAACTATAATACCAAACCAAGCAAAACATTATCATTATAGAATTAATCACAAAGATAAACACTGCAGGAATGTAACGCTGCAGAAGATATACTAATGTGTCATTATATAATAAGCAGCTTTTTTTTCCTCTAGAAGATCCTTGCAAAATATTACCGTAAACCTCCTAAAATTAAGGTTGCAGGGTTAGGTCCCAAAAGAGGATGTCATGTTTCTGAACATGATACTTAACCTGTATTGCTCTGGAAGGTTCTAATTAGGATAAAAAAAGTCACTTTGAATAAATGCATAACCTATGTTTTAAAATAATATGCTGACGGTTTAGTTATACACGTTAAATAAGCATCGTGTAGACGCTTCGGTAGACTCTATGTATATTTACCAACAGCACCTAAAAGGATTTGGAAATCACCGATAAATTCCAGGTATAAATTTAATGAGGTGCCGAAGCGATGCAGCAAGGAACTTGTCGACATTTATCAGTTTTACAGATATCCATTTGTAACCCACATTAAGGCTTAACTATCAGTGTAATATCGATGGTAATGATCTGAACACCACTGTAATACTACGGTTTTTACTAGGGTCTTTACCTGAACATGTCGACTTTTATTCGGGAAATGCGATTTATTGGAATGAATTTAATTTATGTTTTACCTTAATAAATATTGGGGGCCTGTGCTGCCTGGATAGACTCCAGGCTCGCAACCTTAAAGACGATATGCAGTTCAGAAGACGAATGGATGGATGGAAAATAAGGAGGATATATTGATAAAATTGGCAATTTTCAGCACAATTTAGATGGTTATTGTTGTTGGAATACAGTGGATAGCTGGATGGAGATGGCGATTTTCTCGTGGTTCCCGCAGCTGCCTGATAAAGGTTAGAAAAGCATCTATATCTTCTGGTCAACATGCAAATCTCCATGAAGTGAAAATTGTAAGGAATAAATGACTTCACTGCCTTGTAATTCATGTGGAGTCGAGGGAGAATAAGACGGGCATCCTCGCTGTTAAATTGGGCATGCGCCATTAGCTCTTAGAGAGACTGCTACAGTATGCAGCTTCGGTAGCTTTGTGTTCGCAGCCTCTGTCGAACATCTCTAATGCTCTGCTGCTTTTAAACAATGCAGCTTTTTTCTCGTGATGTGAGGGGCAGCTGAAATTGCACGCTTGGTTTCAACCCATTTTTGACACTGTGTCATAATTTAGCGGGTCTAATTGCTTTCAGCGCCAGAAAGAAATGATTTATGCAGCGCATCATTGTAACACTGGTGATACAGGCATAGGTCTAGGCCAGGCCAAGGATTTGACACAAGGCCTAATTCTTTTTGAGAGCCATTCTCAGAGCACCGTGTTACGCGGCTAAGCGAAGGATGCCTGTCTTGTGCGTTTTGGAATAAACGCGTGAAAGACAAGCATTAAAAAACTGACTTGGTTTCACAAACCTGCCAAGTAGCTGAGTATCGCCATTCTGTGGTCTTCAAGGAAGCAGTGAAATTAGCATCAGGGGCTGTAGGGTAGCTGTCGAATCTTCCGCACACACCCCAGCAGAAATGACAAAGAGTTGTGACATAGCACCCCCCCCACCACCACCCCCAATGCCTTCACCACCTTTCTTTCATTCTTGTAACTATATCTGCCAGTCAGCAGGTTGATTGGTTTAGTCCTGGATCACTGGCAATGAGCTAAACTTGAGAGCACAGGCTGCTTTTTCATGTCAGGGCCTTCGACAGAAACCGGCAGCGGCCCAAAAACAATCACACTTCAGACTTCAAAGGTGGAAAATGCACGGAGAAAAAGGCCGTTTACATTTTTTCACGCTAGCCAAGTTCAACTCATGCGTGGAAGCAAAAGGAACTGAGATGATATAAGTGGAAAGTGGCAGTGAGTGGAGACGGCGGCGCGAGCAGGTGTGTTTGGGCAGGTCGTGACATATCCCAGTACAATCTGACCTCGGGAGTGCCATAGTCACCAGTCAGCCCATCTGCTGGTCCTCCCCATGTTTATGTCAAGCTGCGCTAACAGTGTACTGCCGTCCTCAACGCAGAAATATTGAATATCCCGATGGCTTAACGGCAAGTTTCTTCTTCTGGCATCCGTTTGGGTCATTCCTGAACAGCTAGTTAGGTAGCGTCCTGTAAAAATAAACAAATAAATCTCACTGATTGTGAGAGCTTAATAGGTGTCATTTAGAATAGTTGCTATTGCATAAATATTCTTCTTCATGTCTAGTTGGCAGCCATGTAAAGAGAGTGAAGTACCATTTGTTGCCTACCAATGATCAACAGTTCATTCTTTCTTACAACACCTGGCTGTGATGAAGTAATGCTTGTTAGAAATGTCTTAGTTTAGAAAATGGGCGGTCACTAAGTTTTGTAGCTCTCTTGAAACTGAGTATTTTGGTAAGCATTATGTTTAGGCTATGTTTATTGTATTTTTGAAAAAATACGTATGTGTTTCCAGGATTCTTCATTAGTAAACACTTAAATGAGGCCACTTGTTTCCACCTGTTTTTCTCTTTCGTGGATTTACACATTGTTTTATGTTTTACTGCACTACTTTGTCTACACAAACATACGAGTAGGAAATAAATATGTCCATTCGTGAATCCACAGGAATATATGTAAATTTCCTGCCAAAGTCTCTTCCGCTTGTGTAAAGCTATACGGGCAGCTAAAGGAAGTACAGTCCAGTTCCTCTTCGATGTGTCGAGGGGGGCTCACACCCAGTGTGTCCTTCCTACCAAAGCAAAAAAAAAAAAGAAACGCAAAAAAAACTCTTGGTCCATTCCAAGGCAGAAAAGCATGTACATATGGAGGCACTGAGAGAGGAGCAGCATGTTATGACCAAGCGAAAGGGAGAGAGAGACGTAGAGAGCCGACAAGGTGATAAAAGAGACAGGGCCTGTCAGCGTGTCACTGCCCCATCAGGCTGCTCCAAGCGACCCCGACGGAGGAGAGCTTCTCACAAGCTGTCACTCGGCCCTGTTCCGCCCCACTGCTAACCAGCCAATCGGTCGCTGGCTCCGTGCCCGGAGCGCAGACACAGGATGTATCTGTTGCAGGCTGTTGAAAAAGGAAAAAAAAAAAAAAAAAAAGAATTAAAAATGTAGCATGTTGTGTAACACCAAAAGGTGCCAGGAACAGTAATAGGACACATCAACCACTAAGCAAATGATGGCATCAACGTACTGATCAGGCTAATCATCATGTCCCTCGCTGAAGGGAGGGATCTTGTCTCTCTTCTTTTCAAGCCAGATGACGAAGAATGTCTGCTTTGAAAACATGTACTAACTAGTCTAAAAATTAGTCTGGAAATATTGTCTGCTAAGACAGTCTTAGGGGAAAAGGCAACGCAAAGCTAAATAGTGCTAATGTCCATATTGTTTTTAAAAGGCATATTAGAGTCGTCAAGATTATTGATCGATTTATACAGAAATTTGTAGGAACTGCTTAGTGTTTCATTTTAGCTGCTATTATTTTATTACGACATAGAGGATCTGAGGTGAGCAGGGAGTGACCGATCCGTGAAATTCCAGTTATCGGTTACGGCATTTGGGAAGCGGAGTATCGAGATGGATTAGTGTGGACGGCTGGGGCTCTCATCGGGGCCTAATGTCTCAGCTGTCTGGATGTCCCGTCAACCGGAGCAGGTCACGCCCCCCCCCCCCCGCTACCCTCAGTGTGGGTACACCTCACCACCGGATAATATTAATCCTCACTCGGAATAACGAGAGGCTCGACTCTGCGTCCCGTACCGAAAGCTGATCCCAGCAGAAGAAGTGAAAGAGTGGCTCCACATCCTGCATCTGGGAGACTCATTTGTGTCTTTTAGCAATTAGCGATGTGGCTAATGCCCCTGCATGCCTTTTCCGGCCCTTCCCCGATGCCAGAAAACACCTTGAGATTTTACGGCAAATTGCTCGGGACTGCAGTATCCGCTCACCTCTGGGGGGGGCGGGGACAGGTGAACGCACCGTGACAGGAATTTCCCCTTAAATCAGCGGCCATGACTACACCCTGGGTTGCCAGATCAATTCAAAGTTCTTCAGATAAGTAAGGACATTGCATGATATATAAAATGATAATTCCTAGCATTGCATACAGTGTGACCCCTACCTTGTGCCCTGTGCTTCCTGGGATAGATTCCAGGCTCACCATCTCACCATGACCCTTTCCTGGTAGGAAATAGATGGATAGTAATCATAGTTATAATTATATACCACTAAAGGATATTGTGCTGTATAGACTGAAACAGGAAACTTATTTGAATTTGATCTTAATCTTTCCGGTCAGATGTGCTCATACACACTGAGCAGTCTTTATCAGATTTTTGTGGTTTGCCAAGTGAAAAGTACTGTTAATTTCACGCATACGTCAGATGCGGGATTACACTGTTCCGTCTCCTACCAATAAAACCGCTCTCACCTTAGATTGTAAATCTTAAACACACACAAACATCGTGCCATATTGAACTTAGGGATGGTGTGTGGCTCAGTGGGTTAGGATGCTCAGTAGGTTGCTGGGTTGAATCCCATGGTCTGCAGAGTGATTTCACCATTAGGCCTTAACCCCAGTTGGTTCAGGGAGTGACTGACCCAGCTTTCTCAAATGTACATTTCTTTGGATAAAAGCACATATTAAATAAATCTAAGTTTAACCAGTCACTGACATTCAGATATTAGTTAGTGGATCATCACCAACTCCACAATAAAGCGCTTTCATTTCGATAAGCACAGGAAATAAGCGGTAGATCCGAAGGGGGAAACCATGTCTGAATAGACACACAAGCAGCAGCCTGAGCGACGTTCGCTATGCGGTCAGTGTCCGTTGCGGTTCCGACAAGACAACAACTGAATCAAAGACAAGCTCCGCCTACAACAATCACATAATATAACATAATATCTCTCAACATTAAGGAGGGGCACCCCCCCCCCCATTCACTCCGGAGCACTGAATAAGCAGACAGATGGTGAATTCAATATAAATTATGATCCCAATCATGTGTAGCAACCATGGTATTATGTTCACATTCCTCATAAGCACAGGTTACTTTTTGTACTTTTTCAGTCCCATGTATGGAGGTTTTATCTGTTATAATAATTTTAAGTCCTATATTGAACTCCTTAGTCTGCTCTTACAATGCTGACATTCATAACAGTTTGCAAGCAGCTAGAAACTGCAGCCTTTTAGACGTTTAGAAGTTTCACAGGCACCTCAGCAAGTTAAAGCCCTTTCTTTGTGGGACATTAGATGCACTACAGATGAGTAAAAGAGGGGAGGAGTCTGTTGGATCCTATGAGTAGATCTGCAAGGGCCCTGATGCGGAGATACATTTTAGGCACTTAAGAAGTTTGGATTCTTTTGGTGAGTAAACAAGGGTTGCGGATATAATAGTGTGATAGTGTAACTAGAGGCGTATTTCTGGATGAAGTGTGTATCCTCAGAAACAAGGGAGCAGGCAGGCGGGAAAGCGGCTGCTGAATTTCTCAGGCAACGGGCATATAGCAGAAGCGGAAACAGACCGCAGAGCTTAGAGAGCATGTTAGCAGGATTCGTGCTGCGTATGACGTCTCGTGCAATGAAAGTGAAACCTCCTCCACCTAATTAACGTTCAGTGGGGCCCTACTGACAGCTTGGCACTTTCACTTAAGCGACGTCCCCGGACTTCCACCAGAAACACCTCTAATCTCACTGAGATGGAATTCCATACTGCTCAAGCTCTCGGGGAATCTTATCGAGCCCTTTGAATGTCAACATCATTTTAATTCAGTAAAAATATTGCACGTATAAGATTTTTTTCTATGATTGGGTTATGTTTTGCAACACTGCAAGTGAAAACTGCATATCTCTCTATGGTATGTATAAGGCTAGTAACTACTCATATGTAGATAAGCTATTAGGATACAGTTTTTGACTATGTTTATTTGTGTAATTAGGGATATGCAGTTTCATATAAATAATATATATCTCAGAGTGAGTGCAGGCTCAATGGACTGTGTTGCTTTCCAAACCCAGGGGCTAAGGAGACCAGGCAGGACAGAGTACAACATCGCCCCCTTGTGTTCAATGACCACAACTGAGCCAGAAACTGCATCTGGGGGGAAAGTACAAGGCTTCAGCTAGCATAATGGTGTTTAGGTGAAGACAGAGAATTTTATAAATAATATTTTAACATAACATAAGATCATATTCCTCCTGCCGGTTTTGTCTCTTGGTTGGTGGCCCAATCAGGATGTACCCCAGCATTTCACTGCATGGAAGAGGCTCCGACATCCCCCTCCCCCAAACCACGATCCTGAGTGGAGGGGTTGATCGCGTTACTGTATATACATTGTATAATAACAATAATCTGCATTTATAACATTATATAGTAAAATGTTGTGTATTGAGGGCCAGCTACATATGTGATAAAAATGCATCCATTAGACTTGTGTTTCACAGGGCCATGCGCTTTATGAATAAAAAGAAATATACATTACAACATGTTTATTTTTGTTTTGGATACAAGCATGGAGAGAATGACCTTGAGGAGCTGCAAGGATATGTTAAGCACCAGACGTCGATGTCTAATGTGTATCATAATGTGAGTTACACTAACCCATTGACTCCATGGTGATCGGACCAAGACTACAGCACAATGGCGCCACAATGAAAGTCGCTCATCTCAGCGAGAAAATTTAAGGCTTAACGTAACACTACTTTATTCCCCTCGGCTCGTGTGCCCTTCCATGTAGCCGACACGGCTAATCCAAGAGCCAGACTTGCACGCTGAACAAGAGCTCCGTATAACGAGAGACGCATTCATCCCATACTGAGCTACCATTAATGTTTTTTTGCGAGTTGGTTTAATCTGGCTATGCATTCACTGGGCAACTGCCTCAGAACAGAGTTCAGCGTTTCTCAGAATATTGTAATTATTGCGCTAATGTTACTTGACCTTGACCAAAGTTTCCCCATAAAATCGTGGTTTAAATACCAAAGACAGATTAATGAAGTGAGTTATGCTTCCTCAAAGAGCCGTGCTTCAAGTCTATCTTCCGCGGTTAATTTGGACGTAGCAATTCGCAGCGAGGCCAAGCACAGAACTTCTGCCTTAATCCTCCTGCCTTTATTAAGCGACACTCAGCTATTAACGAGATCACAGCTACAGCCAAGAAGATAGGGCAAATTCTGCAAGTTTTAATTTCATACCAACAGACATAATTGGAGTGAAGCACTCTCTTGGCCCTAGTGACTGGCCCCTCCCACCCTTCCCGGGAGCAAGTTGGATTCAACACTATTCATGTCTGTGGCGACTGGTCACCTGACCATTATTTACCAACGTCAAATACCAATTTGTCCACTTCCACCATTAGAGAAAATGCATGAATATTGCTTTTCCATGCCTCTATAAAAACTGAAGCTGTTTTTTTTTTTTTTTTTGGAATGATAAAAACACATCACAAAAGAATGATAATGTGGATTCATATGTATATATTCATATATTTTCAATAATTTCATCATATGTATTTTGTACATATGATGATACCGTTATCATTTTTAGTAGCATGCATTCCTCAGACTGTCAGTTAATAGTACAAGGAACAATAACGGTAAGCAGGAACACCACAGAGTAAAGAATGCAGGAACAGTAACAGAGTAAAGAATGCAGGAACAGTAACAGAGTAAAGAATGCAGGAACAGTAACAGTAAGCAGGAACAGTAACAGAGCAAATGAATAACACAAAACAACAGGTAATTCAAAAGTAGTCTCTATTTCTGAACCATCAAAGAGACTAAATAAATGAGCAATAAGTGTCACAGATAAAAGTCAGATGTGGCTTTCTGGACAGGATGTTAAACAAAACCACAAGACAGAGGGATGAGAGGAAGATAATTATGAAATTATCACAAAATCGTGACAAAACGAATGAACGATAAACTCTAAAAAACCCCAGTGTCCCTGCAGACAGAAGGTCAAGTGGTCTTCAGGATTTAAACAAAGACGTCTTCCTCCACAGGTAAATCCACAGCTACAACGAGAGGCAGCTATGTTATGTTGTTGCTGTTATGTTAGAGTACACAGTACATTGATCCAAACCAGAAAAGAAAGACTATGCCAAGCCTACCTGCAATATGACAGAAATTGTCATAAGATTTGGTCTAAACAAAGAATTTCAGGAAAATCACACAACCCTCACTACCTCAGAGAAAAGACTGAGAAGAAGCTATTAACTATTAACAATTTACACTGAAATAAAAACACTTACTATTACAGAGGATACAAATAATAAAAATCATACTTGTGAAGAGTATGAGGTCAAAAAAGCATTAAAATGACACATTTTACTGCCCAGTAATAATGCTGGATGGATGGAGGGATGGAGGGATGGATGGAAGTTTTCATCAATCAAATATGAATAGAAAAAGAATACATTCAATGCATGCAAAATATTTCCTGAAATACATTTTTTGTATAGAGTGCCAAAAGCATTGTTGAGAATGGGCCATTTTTTGTGTTTTCTAGGACCATGTATTCTGTGTAATACCAATTGTACAAGGCAATATGCTCTGTTAAACAATATGGTAACCATAGCCAATAAAAAGTCAAGAAATTAATTACCTGGCAACTGCTTATACTAAGATAATAGTGCATA